GGTTTTTGCACTGTATGACCCACAGGATCTACATATGAAAATACGATAATATTGTATGCATGTATGCAATTATCATTCTCTTTTTTGCCAGACTGTGCTGTACATATTTAACTATATTCACTCCAAGATTTTGTTTTAGACCAAATAATATGAACTTTTCTCTTCTCTTATATGGGTCTATAGAACTCAAGCTAAAATATTGATGGAAGTATTGTACAGCAATTAATCTAATACAAAGTTTGAGACTATGATTGGTCTCCAATGTATCACAGTTTTCTTCTACATTTTAAAGACCACAATCTCAGCTTTATTTTATTCTCGATGGCTTCTTGTTTAAACAACGTTTAAGACAAAACTTAGACTTAAGTATCTTGAAGACAATAGATTTTGTTCTACCAGATATTATTTTTCTGTAAGTATTTAACACAGTTGGAACTAACAGAGCAGGATTAATAAATTATGGTATTCATATCATCAATTTCATAGTGATAAGCATCATATAATTTCAAAGCAACAAATATCTAGAGAAGATCTTGGAGCAGCTGTTGGTGATACCTACCAGGAAGACCACCTAATAGGAAGAGCAATACAGAACACAACCACCATTGTCAAAGGTGGCACATGGCAAGCAAAGTTAACTCCTTCTCTAGAATACATAATCAGACACTGTGCAATCATATTTCTTTCAAGTCATAGGTGGTATTGCTCTGCAAACTTCTAGCCTGCTATTCATTATTAGAAAAGCAACACTCCTGCTCCCCAAGCCCTTAGTTTGAAATCTAATATAATAAAATACAACTATGTACGTATCTGAATAATATACGTGTAGGTATAGGTATACATATACATACATATACACCCTTCCAGCTTGTTCTGAAGCATCTGCATGTTTGTTATATGCAATGGGACTGTGTCCTGGTTTTGGCAGGGATAGAGTTAATTTCCTTCCTAGTAGCTGGTACAGTGCTGTGGTTTGGATTTAGGATGAGAATAATGTTGATAACACACCGATGTGTTAGTTGTTGCTAGGGAATGCTTACACTAGTCAAGGACTTGTCAGCCTCCCATGCTTTACCGACTGAGAAGGAGCTGGGAGGGGGCACAGCCAGGACAGCTGACCCAAACGGGCCACAGGGATATTCCATACCATGTGACGTCATGCTCAGTACATCAGTTGGGGGAAAGCTGGCCGGGTGGGCCGCTACTCAGGGACTGGCTGGGCATCGGTCAGCGGGTGGTAAGCAACTGCACTGTGCATCACTTGCTTTTGCTATGAACCTTTGTGTAAGGCCTTTAATATGAGCGTCCATTTGCGCAAGTCAAGTACATATTGAAAAAACTTACCTGGAATCGATAAAAGGTGCCATCATCCTTTAGTGTTAGAACATGGTCTGAGATTGGAAAGAAATAGCCATGTGCTGCCATCAGTGTTCCCAAATGCAGAGCTTCCACTGTTTGAAGAAAAGAGAGATATACTTAAAAAATTAAATAATTTCTTTTCAGCAGTTTAGTTTTCTTGTCCAGATTCATCTTACCTCCTGCAGATAACCACTTGACTCTCAGTCAAGGTCCTGCCATCATGAAAGAGCTGTCTTTTTCTATGTAATGTAATGATACAACCAAAAAAAACCCTTTACTCTCCTTAATAAATGGCTATTAGATGTCCCATTTGTAGCTGCAGTTCCACTACTCACATCAGCATTAGCAGGTACCTACCACAATGTTCACTTACTTGTTTTGAAGCTGAAAACAGCTATCATTTTTACCCTGATGTTGCATCGTGCTTTTCCTCTTCAGAACAGTTTCAGATTACATGGTTAAAATAGGTGATTACAATTGCCTGATATCTTCCTCACTAGCTTTATCAGAACTACAGTAAAGGATAGTTTTCCTTAAAAGTTTCTCATTACTGGGAAAATAACAAAGGATCACAGAATCACAGAATGGTTGAGGGACCTCTGGAGGTCATCTGATCCAACCCCCATGCTCAAGCAGGGACACCTAGAGCCAGTTGCCCAGGACCATGGCTTTTGAATATCTCCAAGGAGGGACCACAATCTCTCTGGGCAACCTGTGCCAGTGCTTGGTCACCCTCACAGTAAAAAAGTGTTTCCCAATGTTCAGAGGGAACCTACTGTGTTTCAGTTTGTGCCCATTGACTCTGGTCCTGTCACTGGGCACCACTGGAAAGAGCCTGGCTCCGTCTTCTTTACACCCTCCCACCAGGTATTTATACACATAGATGAGCTTCCACCTGAGCCTTCTCCAGACTGAACAGCAGCTTTTCTCATAGGAGAGGTGCTCCAGGCCTTTAATCATCTTCACGGCCCTCTGTTGGACTCTCTCCAGTGTGTGCATGTCTCTCTTGTAGTGAGGAGTCCAGAACTGGTCACACAGAGGATGAATTCAATTCACTTTAATGAACAAAACTATAATATGTAACAGTCAGGATTATATGTGCTCCTGTATTTTCAGTGAATCACTGTCCAGTATCAGTCCCTGAAGTCTCTTACTCAGTATTGTCATTATTTGCCTAACAAGAACACAGTGTTGTAGGAAGAGAACAGCATTAGTTAGAGTCATGCTCTTGTTGCAGTTTTTAAGTCCTACTATCTCTTTACCATATTTCTTTACCAACCTTGTAACAACACAGGTACATATCCCTAAAATAGCTGCACAGCAATTTCTGTTGTAAAATTAAAAATTTCCTAGCATAACCTGCTAATATCAGTCCACAACCACTGAGGCATCCTAATTTTAAAAGATGAACCCTGGAAAGGAACATAAGGGTTTCTGAGCTATATGACAAAGCCACCAGTTACAGGAGCTGGTGCTAGAGAGGACAACACTGCTGCAGGACAACATCAGGGATGTGAAAAGGAAAACGATCAATAAAAAGGCCATATTGGACACCTAAGGAGTAAGGGAAAGGTAGGAAAGGGGAGGAAGAAAAAGACAAAGAGAAGAAAGACAGAAACAGCGAGATCTGCCTAAAAAATGAGGGATCTTTTATCTAAAATATGAATTCAGCATGAATCCAGAAAGTATGCAGAATCAGTAAGGATGAATATTTGCACTATGGAAAACACGTTACACCACCACAACATACACAGATTCATATTCATCCTCTAAAAGGAGCTCATTTGTTCCTACTGTTTGTAATTTGGCTTTCAGCAATGGCAAGCATAAATGTTGCAGCACGGATCTGTCTTGTCCTGCCTCTTTAAACCATCACTGTGGCATCTGACCAGCAGTCACAGCATCATCATGCAGAAAGAAATGCAAGTCCTAATACCTGTGTTCTTGCTAACAAACACAGAAACAGGGATTCACTTATGCTTCACCCATTATTACTTTGGATGTGAAAAGGAAACACAGGCTTATTTATTTACCCATACTTCATCAGCATCCCAGAAAACTCCCTCTTTCACCCTTTTACTCACCTGGAGACATTCACTGGTATAGGAGATAGAGGAGGTGAAATGGGACATTTTTAAGCTAACTCAAAGCCAGCAAGCATGTGAAAGGAGCAAGAAAGGGGATCCGGACAGTACTTAACTGAGAGCACATAACCCTACCAGGATTTATTTGATACCCAATAATCCTTGTGATCTCTGTGTTTGGCAAACTGGTTCCTGCTCATCCAGCAGAGCCATTATCTAAGAAAATCCAACACACCCGCTCCGGCAGTGAGCTCTCTGGCCTGCTATAAAATGCCACAATCCTGTTAACAAACCTTCTCCCAGTCGCAAGCCTACAAGAAATCTCTCTAACAGAAAGAAGGTAGTTGCTTTGCTCCTTGTGCTTGAGATGTCTGCAAATCCCCATCTGAACTTTATCCTAATTAATGTAAGTCCATATATTGTTGTTATTCATTTCTTTCAAGCCACTAATTCTATTATCCTTTGGATCAGAAATTTTGAGTCAACGCTGTCTGTAGTGCGTCATTTGCTGAGGTTCTTTTCATTTTGGTTCACTTTGTCTACCTTTTAATTTTATTAAGCTTTTCTTTGTTCTTCACACACGGCCAATTCCAAAAACTTTATTTTTGCAGGAATTATGTATCTTCGTGGAATGAGAGAAAAACAAAGGAAGAAATGTGCTGACATTTTTCAGAGAAAGGATTTCTTAGATAAGGGTGACAAGGCTTGCTAGGGAGCTCTGACACAGATGAGAACACATTCTCTTCAGATTTAGCAGAAAGTAAATAGGCTCCAGATTTTTTTCATGTTCTTCCTGGATTCTGAATTGTAATATTTTTCAAGAGCACAAGGAGCTCACATTATTCCCCTTTACCCAGCAATCTTTAGACCACACCTGGACAACTATATCCAGTTGGGAATAATATGTCCACTCCAATACAAGAAAGACATCAACAAACTTGAGTGAGTCCAGTGGAGGGTCACCAAGATGGTTGGGGCTGGAGAATGTGCCCTGTAAGGAGAGGCTGGGGGAGCTGGCCTTGCTCAGACTGAAAGAGAGAAGGTTTTGGGGGTGTCTAGCAGCACCCTTCCAATGCATATGTCCTGGTTTCAGCAGGGATAGAGTTAATTTCCTTCCTAGTAGCTGGTACAGTGCTGTGGTTTGGATTTAGGGTGAGAACAATGTTGATAACACATCGATGTTTTTAGTTGTTGCTAGGTAGTGTTTATACTAGTCAAGGACTTTCCAACTTCCCATGCTCTACCGACTGAGAAGGCTGGAGGGGCACAAGAAGCTGGGAGGGGACACAGCCAGGACAGCTGACCCAAACTGGCCAACGGGATATTCCATACCATGGGACATCATGCTCAGTATAAAAAGCTGGGAAAAGAAGAAGGAAGGGGGGGACATTTGGAGTGGTGGCGTTTGTCTTCCCAAGTAACCGTTACGCGTGAGGGAGCCCTGCTTTCCTGGAGATGGCTGAACACCTGCCTGCCCATGGGAAGTAGTGAATTAATTCCTTTGTTTTGCTTTGCTTGCGTGCGCGACTGTTGCTCTACCTATTAAACTGTTTTTATCTCAACCCACGAGTTTTCTCACTTTTACCCTTCCGATTCTCTTCCCCATCCCACGGGGGGGGGGATGAGCGAGCGGCTGCGTGGTGCTTAGTTGCCAACTGGGGTTAAACCACGACAGCGCAAAAGGAGACTACCAAATGAGGGAGCCAAGATCTTTGCTTAGTTGCATGGCAATTAAAAAAAAAAAAAAAAAAAGAGGCAATGGTACTAAACTAAACCAGGGATGGTTCTGACTTTAGCCAAGCAGCAGAAGAGGCTGCCCAGAGAGGCTATGCAGTCTGCATCCTTGGAGGGTTTCAAGACCTTGAACCGATAAAGTCCTGGACAATGTGTTTGACCTTACAGTTGACCCTGCTTTGAGAAATGGGTTGGACTAGAGTCTTCCTGAGGTCCCTCTTGACCTGAATTTTATTACAACTCTGTGACTCTAGGTGGATGAAGCAGAAGTGGAACAAGGAGCAGAAAAAAGGGATGGAGACAATTGGAGAAGAAATTATTTGAAAGCTCCTGCCAGAGCAGCCTATAATCCTGGGAAGGTTGGTTACAGTAGGAGTAAGAGCTTATATTTCTCTCACTGAGCAATGAGTCATATACGCAACTATATAGTCACTACTAGTCCTCTATGCAAAAAATGGCAAGAGCAACCTGGCCTTCTCCAGAAGCCAATTAAGGTTATTTAAGATCTGAATCGTTCCCAATAGGAGCCTATATCTCTTCTTCAGTTATGTATGGAGGCTTAAGGCGGTTTTATTCTCACCTCAGGCAATCTCATTCAGCTAGGATGAATCTATACTAACTCAATGTTAAGGTATCTTTCTGTCCCTTTAGCCATTAAGAGTTAATAAGGACATATAAACTTGTCACATCTCTTCTTGTTTCCTTCAGCTAATAGACAATTAATTTTCATTTTTTATGGCTATTAATCCAGCAACTTATTCCAGCATTGCATAAATATAAATGCACAAATATACCTTTTTAATATCAACCTAAGATCTACTGTAGCTCACACTTGGAATGTGAGCCTGTCCTGGTTTCAGCAGGGATAGAGTTAATTTCCTTCCTAGTAGCTGGTACAGTGCTGTGGTTTGGGTTTAGGATGAGAACAAAATTGATAAGGCACCGATGTTTTAGTTGTTGCTAGGTAATGCTTACACTAGCCAAGGACTTTCTAGTTTTCCATGCTCTAAGTCCTTACACTAGCCAAGGACTTTCTAGTTTTCTGTGCTGTCTGGAGTTGGACGGCTGCAGATGCACAAGAAGCTCCAGGGCAGCTGACCCAAACTGGCCAAAGGGACATTCCATACCATGTGACGTCATGCTCAGTACATAAACTGGGGAAAGCTGGCCGGGGGGGCCGCTGCTCGGGGACTGGCTGGGCATCGGTCGGCGGGTGGTGGGCAATTGTACTGTGCATCACTTGCTTTGTGTATTATTATTATTATCATATTATT